CAGAAGCGATGCAATGAACGTGGTGTTGGTTGGTGGACTTCGGTGCTGTGGTGGGCAATGATTAATCACTGTTAACTTCTGTTGGCACATGTCGCCAGTTCAATGGAAACAAATTTATTTCTCCGTGTTTCATATAAGCATTTGCCGTAATTGAAAAACTTGGTGATGGATCATTTCAGTATTGCGATTCGCATTTATTGAGAAATTATATTCTTGCCGGTTGTTATTGATTTATTAATGCTTAGTGAAAATTTCGGGTGAGTTCAAAAATGAATGTTAGTAAAATTTGTTAAATACCCAAACTATACACAATAATTTTGAAACTTTATATAAAATTATATCAAATCATAAAATAAAAAAAGTTAAATTGTTTCATAGGTCAAATTAATGTTATGATTAAATTTTCCTGGAAGTTGTAAATAAAAAATAAAAATTGCTCTTCTGTGAGAAATCTTGAATAAAAAATGATCCATCACTTTCAGACAGCTTTGCTAACTAACATATATAAAAACAAGTTGTGTTAAAGTTAAAAATTCATTTTTATTTTGCTCCAATGTATATTCTCTATAACATGGGAGGGAAGACAGGGGCATATTGAACCAATTTTTAGTACTCAACTCATTAAATTTTTATTATTGCGTTAAAACTTTTTGAAAAAAGTCATTATTATGTAAAAATACGTCTATTACGTATCGCAAAAAATGTATTCAACTCTAGCGTGTTTTTTGACATTAGAAGGGTGTCAGGGTGTCTTTACGAATCTGAAAAACTAATCAACTCCAGGCAATATTTCGTCAAGCAAGCATTCTTCGTCACCAGTAGAGACAAATTTCTTGGCTGAATGTAATCTACACTGAAATTTGACAATGCAGAATTTTGAGCGTTGTTGTATTTTTACAATATCTAAACAGTATCGCACGGACAAACAATCAGCCACAGACCCTAATTTAACCTCTAGGGCCTTTCTCACAGTAACCAACATTATATCCATAGACGAATTTAGACAACTTTGACGGGGAGAGCCAAGAAACAAACCAAATTTTCGAGTGTGTGGCCAAAATAAGACTGGTGGCAACGTTTTTTCTTAAAAAATTGTTTTCTTGTGTAAAAACTGATGTTTTACTGAGTTTCATTGAAAATACTGCTCACATCGTTTTCCTACCGTTCTTTGCTGTCAATATCTGACCATTCTGATAGATTCTGCTTCAAAAACAAACACAGTTTTAAATTTTGAACTAATATAAATACAGTTTACTGTGCCCTAACAACTTGGTTCAATTTGCCTCAACCATAGTGATTCTAGTATTTCAACTGTAGCCTCATCAACATGTTACCAAGGCCTGAAATCAAGTACGTACTGTTTTACTGGATAAAACACTACAAAAATATATATCGTAAATTTATTTACTCTTTTGCAGTTGTATTTTAAAGAACAATCACGTCAACGAGTGAAAATTATTCGAAAAAGGCAAAATCATATAAGCGACATTAGCTTGACAATTTGCAGACATAAACGTGACAGATTTACTCAGGTAGTTCATTACGCATTAATAGTTATAATAAAAAAGGCCTACCGGTATTTGTTATAAATAGCAAATTCACTCAACTGGTTCAACCTCCCGTGATTAATAAGGCCCGGTCTCTCCTATATTCGTTAAACTTCAAAAACTTTGGAACAAAATACAAATGGATGTTTCGATGGCCTGAAAGCATTTATCGAGGCGAGATGAAGAATGGCAAAAGCATCTGAGTTGTGATTTTATGGAATAATTAACAGAAAAAGGTTTTAAAAATAGGTTGAAGTTATTTTATATCTTAGTAGTAAAATTTTTTGGATACAACGGACACAATTTATTTGCACAAGAAGAAATGCCATTAAAACGACAAATTTTTTGAAATTTAGTTACACCGTCACCTACTTTAATTTTTACTTTTATCCTCGTCCATTCATTTTCGGTATTTTAATTATTATAAAACTCTGGCAAGCGGAAAGTTTTTTTTTTATAAATTTTTCATTGTAAAATAAGTTTTTGACAATAAAATAATTTTCATTGTAAAATAAGTTTTTAACAATTTTTTTGACCCCCCTCCCCGTGTCATAAACTGCCACAAATCGACCAACCCCCAAAAATAAGCATGTCACAAAACTTACACCAGTGAAAAGTCATTTAACAATGTAATTGTTCTACGCATTTTATTTTTTATTGATATCAAAATAACGAATGACAAGTTTATATGACGATAGTTTGATATCTAGATGCTTTACCGTAGTTAAAATAGAACGAATTATATTAACTTCTACACCTACATGTCGGTAAACTTTAATGATGGCATTTAAGCTTTATTTAATATTCATGAGCTATTTGCTCGCTTGAAAACTTTAATATTCATTTTGCGCATATATAATGATATAGAATTAGCAAGTTATAAATTTAATAAATTCAACAAAATAACTTTGAAATTTGGCAATATTTTTCATAATTTTTTAAATTGTACATGGCTAACAAAAATAAGAAAAAAAATATTCTCAGCTGATTTTAGACATGCAGGCAAACATCAATTGCCTTTTCTTGACAATCCTACCCTTCTCCTTTTTGTTACTTTTTTAGTCTTATCCGGGATTGATTATTATCCGGGATTTTATCCGGGATTGATTATTGTAACTCGCTTTACTATGGTCTTCCTGATTTTACACTCTATCCTTTAAGTAAAGCTCTGCTGTTCGTCTAGTTGCTCGTGCCCCTTTCTTTTCTCATATATCTCCATATCTTGTTCCCTTGCACTGGCTACCCTTAAAATATAAAATGATCTTTAAGATCTGCACATTAATTAAGCCTCAATAAAAATTATTTTCTAAGCATTTAACAGATATATTATTAAACTTAAACGCCCCAGTTTACGATCGTCCTTTTTTTCTCACTTCTTAACTATTGTTAAACACTCTATTGCTAAATCTGCATTTCCTTTTTTGGTCCTTTTCTCTGGAACTCTCTACCTCCATTTCTGACTAATTCTCAATCCTTTACAAAGTTCACAGCGGATCTCAAGACCCATCTGTTTGAAAAATTCACTGAGGAGCGCTGTTGAACATCGCGAAAGTAGTTCTTTACAAACTAATTGATTTTATTTTTGCTCCTCTAACAACAGCAAGCACATCAATAAACATCACTCACATGCCACGCTATAAATTAAATTAAATTTTCCATGCTTTAGTGCTTATTTAAATGCAGGCAACTGAAATATTGGAATGTACATTCAAATTATCATCATTTTTATCTATTCGTTTATAATATTTCAAGCCAACACATTCAATCAAATTAATTAAACCAAATTAATATACCAGCAGTATACGTCTGGTACCAGAAGTGTAGTCAAAGGGGGCTTTGACGCTGAAAATTAAAAAAAATTTAATATTATTTGTTTAAAACAACTCAATTACAGGGAAATTAATTGGTATTTGGAGACCAAATAAGAATAATACTAAAATATCGAACTAACTTTAAAAAAATTCCAAACTCGCCCACAAGACATCCTCAGCAGCTGCATCTGTTCTAAGGATCCAGATCTGCATCCATCCGTTTGACACTGCAGCATGATGTTGAGTTTTTATAAAACTGAATACATTGATTGCTTGAAAAAATCTAACGACATGTAAGAGACAACTGTTAAAATATCACTTGGCGTTTGGCAAGTTATGATTCTGCTGCATTAGAGCTATTACGTCGATTCAAATATTAAATTAATTTGGTTGAAGATGAATAAATTTGTATGATCGATCGACACATTAATATAAAAATGGGGATTTCTTATTCAATTTGAGGTTTGATACTAAAATTGAAGAACATTTCAAACAAACTAATAAAAAATAGATTTTTTCAGCTCGTGTGTATATGACCACCAATCAAATTTTTTGAAGTTTCAACGAAAAGAAAAAGACAGCATCAACAACACACTCGCAACTCGGTGACAACGATAATAAAAGAAAGAAAACAAAACAATCTGGCCACCAACAGCACCAGCGAACGTGCGAGAATGTCCTGAACTTTAATCCTCATTTCAATTTCAGCTACAAATTCTTCCATTCAAAAGCTCCTGAAGATTTTTTTCAATTCAACTGGTGATAATGAAATTAGAATAATGTAAAAAATAAACACATGTGGCAGTGTTTGTGCAGATCTACATTCCAAGATAGATTGCAGATTGATATTTCTAATGTTCACAATTATATACATACATACGTGCACCAACATACATGCACCAACATACATGCACCAACATACATGCACCAACATACATGCACCAACATAAATGACCAAAACGCAAACATAGCAGCCTGTACGAACATTACATGTGGTTTGTTGTCACGTAAGAAACGATGTGATCAGAGTGAGAAAAACTCTAGCGTAAATATAATTACATGGCGAGGCTTTTCTTTCCTATTAGCCAGTAGCACAAGGGAGCACAGCACAGGACACGTGAGCGGTGGGACAATTTATATCGAGGGTATGTTTCTTCGCAATTGAAAGGTTGTGAATGTATACAGTTGCAGACGTATGTTGAAGGATGTGTTACGTTGCAGTGGGGGATTATTTTGCTTGCGTAGGTGAACATTTTTATTTACATAGCGGAGTTTTGAAGGTGCATGTTTTTGCATATCATTCAAATAATGCTGGAGATTTATTAGCTCACTAAGTTATGCGGAGATTCGCAATTTATTTAATTGTTTATTTAAAAAGTTCCTATCTGTTTCCAAATGAAAAATTAAACTTTGTTTTACAAAACCTTAAAACATTCATATGAAACATTCAACTTAGGAACACTTCATATTTCACACGATGCGATATTGTGCCCTCGACACCATTCAGCCGCTGGCGCCATAAAATATTGAAAGAAGCAATATCTTGAGAAGAATTTTTGTGTGAGAAGCAAAGCCAGCAGGCGCAGTAGGAAACTGCATCTCTTACGAACATTTCAACGTCATTTCGAGCTGGTAATTCAAACTTTTTACAAAATAAGTTACAAAATTACATGAAAGTAAAAGAGAATTAAATTACTGTAATTTATTAAAATTTTTCTAAAATATTCACCAATCAATAAGTATAACGTCGTAACGTCTTTTTAAAACGCAGGAAACAATAACAGCCTACATCATGTTTGCATGCACTTTCGACCAGCCAGTGGGAACTTCTCCAGAGAAACACTTGAAACAAATTCATCCGAATATACAAAAACGAATACATGAACATCAGCGACGAAAATATTAAAAGACAATTTTTTTGAAAGATAAAATCAATCAATTATTAAACCATCGCTTATCTCTTCAATGAGGTTTTAAATAAATATTGTTACAAATACTTTTACAAGCATGGGTGGCAATAAGCTAAAACGACGTTGAAATTGAACAACAACATTTTTAAAATAATATCAAAATTTGTAACAATGTAAATATAACAATATTATATTATTAATATTACAATAAATAAAATAATAAATAATATTACAACAAACTGAACACGTTCTATCCGTCCATCCATCCATTCGTCTTCAATCCATATTTTCATCCTTCAATCAAACAGTCTACTTATTTATCCACCATTCCATCCATCTATCTATCAATCTATCCGTCCATCCATCCGTCCATCTGGCCCTCCACTCATCTATCTATCTATCCATTCATCCATCCATCCATCCATCCATCTATCCATCCATCCATCCATCATTTTTGTACGAAGTCTTTATGGCGTGCAAGTATCTTCATTAATATCACTTCAGCAGCGAGGCATGCAATCACTAGCATGCTCCATTGATGATGATGGTATGGTGGTCAGCATGATGATGATGATGACGATGATGTTTAAGATGATGATGATGATGGTTAAGATGATGATTATGATTATAATTAAGATGATGATTATGATGATGGTTAAAATGATGATTATGATGATGATGGTTGAGATGATGACGATGATGATGGTTAAGATGATGATGATGATAATGTTTGATGATGATGATGGTTAAGATGATGATGATGATGATGATGATGGTTAAGATGATGATGTTGATGTTGATAATGATGTTTGATGACGTTGGTGATGATGGTTAACCTGTTGATGGTGATGTTGATGATGATGTTGTGGTTGATGATGATGATAAAGATGATGATGAGGATGATGAATATGAGGATGATGATGATGATGATGATGATGACGGCATTGATGATAGTCAAAACGATGATGACTGAGTAGTATGATAGTGGACATAGCGACCGTGGTCAAGATGATTGTGAGGTCGATTTTAATGAATGAAATTGATGAGGACGACGACGCTGGCAATGCCGTGATGATGACAACAATGACGTCCATTGGGGCATCAGTCAGTATTCAGTAAGTGTAGCGAAATATTTAAATCAAATTTAAGCTAATATTCAACAGTTTATTTCGTTCTTTAAAAACTGATTTTAGTTGACTGTTTCTAAATACTTAACGGTAGCCTCCCACAAGCTTTTTACTTTTTGGCTTCTAAGTCGTTTTATTCTATTGTTTTAAGCAACTTTGATTCAATTGACAAAAATATCAAAATGAATTGAATTTATTGATGATAATAATCTAAGAAATAATTTTAATCTTGATGGTATTTTAGAAGCAATAAATACATTGTATCATTTAAGTTTTGTAAGAATATAGTCCGAAGTCTAACACACAGGAATGAAAAAGAAGTAAGTTACTCAAATTAGCAAGAAATAAAAAAAAATGTAGGTGACCAACAACTATAAAAATAAAACAATAGGATGTGGACGTAGTAATACTGGTGATAGGAAACAACTTTAAAGATAATAAGTTTGATGTTAATGGAGCTGAAATGGATGGGATAGATCTTGAGTGTTCCAAACTCTAGCAGTTGTGGAAGCCAAACATCGTCTTGTGTTGTGCAATATCATGATGAAGATTAGCAAGCAAAATGGATGTGGAGGAAGAAATAACGACAATCAGCAGCAATGCAGACATGATGAACGAGAAACTGAAGACGAAGACAAAGTTACATCTGAAATGAATACCGAAACTTACTGCCGGCTTAAGAAATATAGAAAGAGCCAAGAGACAGACTAACTTGCCTGCCTGCTGTCAAACCAAGTAAGTTGACTGACTAACCTTCCAATAAATTATTATAAAATTTTAAATTTATAATTATCAATTATAAATTTAAATTAAAAATTATAATCATCTGTCAAAATATAATCAAAAAATCCATTGTGGCGCACAGCCCTAGCTGATCATCTCACACAAAATGATATTCCTATTGGGTGAACGTAATCCATGATATAACCTGTCCGATGTAGAGTTTTAATCGCTTAACTATTAAAAGCTTTCCATGTAGCGAAGCAGTGAAGCGATAAGAACTGTCGCTATTGGCCGCTTGATCGATTGTTCTGGCGTCTGAAGACGGCTGAATGGATGGATGGACAGACGGTAATGTGAATGGATGGCAAATGAATACGACGCAAAATGGATACAAATTGATATAGATGGATACAAAATGATACAAATAGATAAAAATACGATACAGCATGGAGAATTGACAAAAAAACATACATTGACAGCAGAACATACATAAATGCAAAATAGGTTCATTTTTAAATTATTATTCATTAATTAACATTTTTTTCATAGTTGCCCAAACAATTTGTTTAAACTCTACTGTGTTTTATATTAATATGCGAATAACTTAAGAAGAACATAATGCCATGTTGTCTGCTGTCATTATTCTCTACAAATTTTGTACAGACGATTTCCAAAATTTTAACAAGCTTGAAAATTAAAACCACAACTTAAATTGGAAAATATATTACACGCAAGAAACAAAAGGCGTTGAAAAAAATTTCAGTTAGAAAATAAGATGTGAAAACAACACGAATATAGAAGAACAGACAGTTGAAAGCAAATACAAAAAGTATTGGGACTATTTATTGAGTGATAGTTGGATGAATGCGTTTTTGATTGATCACCCATCACTACATATAACACGACTGCTTTCGGATTTAGTAAAAAGAGTATGACCATTTATATTAGATTATCATATTAACGAAAGCTTGAAAATTTATAGTTTTCAAAAAATTGTTTGCTATATTTCATTGAATTGCATCAAACAAAGACGTTGATAGTGTATCGCTAATTCGTTGGTTGCTAATATTTTGTTGGTTTTGGTTTAATATCAATTTAGAGCAGATAGTTAAAAATTGACAATTCTGAGTTCTAAATGCTTGTTGTAATACGAAACTTAACACTAAAATTAGACAAAAGAACATCGGACAAAATGACGTTGGACGTACAAAATGAGCTTTTCTGCCGAAAACGCTTTAAAACAAATCCCGTTTAAAGGCAAATTTTGAGGTCTAATTTAAGTTTTTTAAATAATAAGCACATATAGAATGAGATTTAAATATGTAAGTAATTGCAAACGATAAGATTTACGGTGTTGATGACAAGAACGTTACGATGACTGTGACGATGAGTAGTTACACTTATTGAGATGATGATGAGGATGATGATGATATATTAACAAGCGATGTTGGAAATTAATCTTGTGACTACCGCGATGGTGATTTTAATGTAAATCGATCTAGAAGCCAGGAGGAAGGAAACGCGTTGCAATCTATGATTCATGCACGAAAGCTTCTTTGTCTCAGTTTTGCTGCAACTTCTTGTAATCCGTCCGCATGGCCGATCAGGCTTGCTGTACGCTTTTTGATGTGCTATTTTATGAAAGTCTCCGTCAATACGTCATGTGCCAACAGTTATTTTTTAGTTTTTTTTTGGAAGAAGAAAAATATTTTTTTTATTTTATTAGCTTATCATAAAAAATGTAAAGAAACCAAAACAAAATTTAAAACTTTTTGTTATCGTTGGTACACAAAAAATGTTCAATGAACGGATTTGTAAGAACATAAGGAAGTCGCAATATTACGCCAATTTTTGTGCAAATAATTATTTTATCAATGTAATAACAATAATAATATGAGCATTTATATAGCGCCGATTCGCACAGCTGCTTCAGCCTGTGTTCAGCCTGTGTCTAGACCTTTTTTAAAAACGCTTGTCTCAATACAAAAGGTAACGCATTGCAGACACTTGGAACAGCGTGGAGAAAGCCGCGGCTAGTGGGGTAGGATTTGGCAATATGAATGATTAAGAAACCCGTGGAGGATGCGTCAAGGGATTTGGCATGCTCGTGGAAGATCGTTAAGGTAGGTTGGGGATTTAGGTGATGACATTTTGAAGGTTAGAACAGCAATTTTGAAAATGATTCGAGCAGAGATGGGAAGTCAATGAAGCATTGGAAAGATAGTGGAAGTGTTGAAACAAGGAGACTTATTGAAGATCAGTCGAGCGGTCTTATTCTGGATAGTCTGTAGTCTCTCCCGATGGATGTGCAGGAGGTCCTGTAACATAAATTTAGTAAGTAACGATATAAATTATGAAATAGTTCAAAAAAGACAATGTCGATTGGTTATCAGCAGGTTTTAGCGGAGAAGACACTTTTTAAGTTTCAGAGGCTGTCTGTTTAGATGGGAGGTGACAGATAATATAACAAATTTTTTCTAAAAATAAAAATGTTATATTTCAGTATACAAGCAGGCTATTTTTGATATAATTTCATATTTGCATATGTTTGATAAATTTATTTAAATCAGGAAATCAGATTCTTCTTCTTAGATTAAAGTATTATTGTTTTTAGATTTCTTCATTTATTAAATTAGACAAAATTTATATGTTTGAGATGAGATGTTGCGGCTATGAAGTGCCCGGTCCTCTGTTGTGTTGCTGTGATCAGATTAAAATGTAAAAACTTGAGCCTATCATGCAATTGTACGTTGCGTTGCTACGCATACTAAGCTGCTTGTTGGTGAAAATTTTGACCTGCCCCTCCCCCATCGTAAGCTAAAGTCTATGATGCGTTATTTCTTACGTACGTCCTAATAATCTTTTATCATTGATCTCAACAGCGCAGCGTCCAAATAGTATCGACGACAACGCCAAACCAGTTTACATGATATCGATAAATTGATAAAATAAGACAATGAATCAAATACGCTATTTATTTATTTAATAAATTCATCCCAAAGGTTTTAATGCATACAAATCTTAAAAATCTGTCGTTTCATCGTAAATTATGACCATGTGAACTGCACTGATATAAAATTTAAAACTCGTTAAATTGGGAAACATTTCGCAATTATCTACCAGCATCCACGTGTAGGTAAGATGTGGTACCATATGGCTTTAAACTGAATTGCGGTCAAGTGAACATGGATCTATTTCAAACCTGTTACCTGGTTGAATCGGTTGCATTGTCCAAGTGAGATGACATTTAAAAAGCATTAAAATTGTGCTACAAGTGCAACTCCATACGAAAATAAAACGTTTGCCAAGTTCAATTTTGTCAATATTCGTATAACGATTTTTGAAAAAGAAAGCTGCAACACGCCACATTCCGATTAATTTTGTATCATATTAAATATTTACCTTAAGTCTGTGAAACGATAAAATTTATAACAAAAAAAACAGTAAACAATGTAGCAACAAGAATAATCAAAAAATATTGCATCCACTTATCAAATTAAGAACAAACAATCAATTTGAGACTAAATTTTGGATATAATGCCGAATTTTTTAAGTGTAGGGTATGTGAATTCAAAACTGACTTGAGTGAAATTGAAGATTTTAATTAATGAACGTAATACAATTTTGAAAACAAAACGAATAAAGACAGTAACGAATGACAAATAAATACTACAGTTGAATATTTTGGAAATACCCGGCAATCAATAGTTTTTAATATTTATACGAAAAATCTGCTAAGCACATTATGAGTAAAATTATTGGCCTGCTAACAAGTCGTATATCTCAATTTCTACCGAATTTTCAACAGCAATTAACTGCGTATTTAACATATTAATAATACGAATAATACGCCAGAGTTTTACGTAGTTTGCTAAATCGCATTAATTTACTAATTAATAAAAATATCACTAATGTTTTTTAATATATTTAATTTAAAACGTTGCAATTATAATTATTGAAGTAACATTAATTACAAATAAAGGTAATTTACATTTAAATATATTTTGTGCACCAAAATGTAAAGTTGAAGAAAAAAACTGGGGTAAATTGAAAAAAATCTTGATACAAAATTTGGCAAAAAATTCTTGAATCATGATGATTTTTTTAAAAATCTGCACCAACTGTAACAGCGTAGCAAAAAAGGCGACAAGAATTTAAAAAAAAAATAAAAGATCTAGTAGCAAAAATGTGAAATTTGTTGGTTGATGACTAGTTCCAAAATAAAAATGAACAAACCTTAAATCTGGTTGAAATAACTGAAAAAAATCATCATCATAAATAAATAAAAGTACAAAAAACATGTTAGTCATTTAGGTGACAACAAATTCACGTAACAAAGTTCGAAATAAAAATGTAACAGAAGACAAAAAGGATGACTAAATTCTGCATACACTGAGATGAGAGATTGCCATTATGATGAATTTGCCGCGAAGGTCAAAAAAAAGTAATCATTCAATATTTCACTATATATATATATATATATATATATATATATATATATATATATATATATATAGGATTCAGACTATCAGATATAGTTGTTTAAAAAAGTCACGGCATTTTCAGCGTTGCCTAATTTTCTATTTAGTTTTCCAATCTTTCTTACGATGAATATCAGTTGATTATTAAGTTTATTTAACTCATACACAAGTGCATGTTTAAAATAGGAAAGCTTTTTTTATATACGTTACTGTTACTTTGTTTCGATGTTAATAACGTTTTTACGAGTCCTTTGTATCTCTTTGTGTGTCGTCTCGGTAATGTCGATTTCTTAAGTCGAGCTGTACTATCCCATAAAATTAAAACTTAATAATCAACTGAAATTCATCGTAAGAAAGATTGAAAAATTAAATAAAAAATTAAGCAACGCTGAAAATGCTGTGACTTTTTTAAACTCTCTCTCTCTCTCTCTCTCTCTCTCTCTCTCTCTATATATATATATATATATATATATAGTGGGCAAATTTACCAGTTATTGTTAAAATATTGTAACACGTGACAAAAGGTCGCATGCAGTTATTTACGCGACGAATCAAATGGTTTTGATCGTACAACAGAATCATCATGAAGATGATAGAATTGACAATCAACCCCAATGAACTAAGATAAAAATGTAGCATTAATAAATTAACGACTTCAAGTGTACTTCAAGTTTGATGAACTAATAAGCAAGAAGCCAGCCAGCCACGAGCAGGCATCACATTTGAATCATGTGTCCAAACTGATTACATTTCAGTATAAATTTTATCTTATTTCATTTGCAAAACTTTGCAACAAATGCAAAAACATTCATCATAACAGTTGTTTATAAGTTAAAAACTGAAACATTAAGATAAAGATAAATATATAAATAAATAACAAATAAATATACATTATATATATAACTTTTATATATATATATATATTCTTTTTTGTTGTGTGAGATGAAAGTATAAACAATAACGTATGTTGATGTAGGTAATTAGAAAAGCAGTAAAATGTTGACATAAATGACATCAGCTTCTTTCTCATAGTTTATTTATAGTTTTTGCAGTGTCTTGGATGTTTTGAGTTTATCAAACTTACCATAACGGCGTTCATTCTTTACACTGTGATAAATGTCGTTAAAACACTTTTGCCCACTAAACTACACCTTTCGAATTTTTTCAGCTATACCATCTTCAATATTTTCGTTTCGCAGATATTGAAAAACAGAGTAAAATTAGCAAATAGAGCCAAATTCATGAAACGAGCACTATTCCACGGTCAAATTTATTTCCAATGAAATGTTGGTTGTTTCCAATTTTTTGCTATCCTCCTTACCTCCGAAATCTTGCGAACAAGTGTTAACGCCTCCATTAACTTCCTGGTGATCTATGAAAAAGTTCAAACGAAATCAACTATCAACAGGTGTTACCTACTCCGTTTCGCATAAAAAGGACACCATTGCAAAATGAAAATAAATTTTTTAAAATGAAAAAATTGCAGCTGTTCATAAAAATATTTAAAATCATGAAATTACATAATGTTCAACATATAACCTACGACGAAACACTCACATACACACATAAAAATAAATAACCGCGTGCGTGCGTGTGTGAAAAAAGGAGTTTGTACGTGGGTGAGTCTTATGCATTCGTCATCAGTATATTGATAAAAAAAAAAACTATTTGAAACTAAATTAATTAATTTGAGGTATTTTATGAACATATCACAAACTCGTCAAATTTATGAAAATCTGACAATAAAAAATAGCTACAACACAGAAGTTCAATTATGCATGATCCAACAATTCACCAGTTTTCATATCATGATAAAAAAAACAAAGGACAGTCTTCATAGAAGCAAGACAACATATGTATAGTTGATTGCATTACACATTGGACACTGGACAGGTCTTATGTAATGTTTCTGATGTCCACAAAATAAACAAAAGCCACTAAATAAAACAATAAAAAAAAAAGGTGACTCGAAATTTTGACATTATAGAAATAGATGAAAAATGTCAACCTAAATAAATTAATCTGTTCTTTCAAAAGAAACATATGACAAAAGAGATTTTGAGAATTAAACGAATATGAAAACAAAAGTATTTTTATGCACATCAAAAATCATTTCCTAGAAAAATGCCATCTTCTAACTCAATTTTGAATCAACAGGCGCACACATTGTAAATTGGCTCCAATCAGTTGCAGGAAAATCAATTAAATTCAAGAAGAGCAAAAAAGATTTGAATAATTCATTGGAGTTGCAAAAAATAATTGTGCCTAAGAAATTAACTCCTCATTCAAAACCAAACAAACCATTTCGATCATTTCAACAGCGTTTCTAAAACTTTTAAAACTTTGCGACCGACTGCAAGTTGGTTTAAAAATGAATTTTTTCAATGAAAGAATGAGTAAAACAAACTTGGAAATATCGACAATCAACGGATATCAAAAGAAAGAATAGTTTCAAGAGGTGAGCCACATTTAGAAAGTGAAAACAAAACTCAAAGATAGAAGGTCGAAAATCATTGAGAATTTATGAGGAAGTGCTAAGCAAAAGAGCTTGTTAAAAATTAAGTAAATTAATCTGATCTGGCAATTGTGACAAAGAGAATTTTGCATTGGAGAGTTGAGAATAAATGAACGGATGAAAAGAAATAAATGCAGTATTTGAAAATGAAACCATGTTCATTACAAATGTTCAAGCGAGTTGGAAAAAGTGCCATGAGTTTGGAGAGTTGTGAATTTTGATTTCTCTGGTAATACTAGTCTGGTGGTCAGAATATGTATGTGTAGAATATATACATACGTACATTCATACATACATACATACATACATACATACATACATACATACATACATACATACATACATACATACATACATACATGCATGCATGCATACATACATACATACATACATACATACATACACACATACATACACACACAAATACGTATATGCGTGCGTGTGTACATGTTATCAGTGCTTGCAGCTAAACATCTTTACTGACCTAGTGTAACTGTCTGTTTAAATATACGCACAAAATGGAAATTCATAAGTTAAATGTAGCATGCAGACGTATGTACAAGCTACAGATGAATATTTACATGATTATATGTTCTGAATATTTACAAATGTCAGATGCAATATCATTACCGGGATCAAGTTATTTCGCAATCAATTTGGCCAAGTGACGAAATAAAAATGAAGTAATTCAAAGTAAATGGCCAAACTACTTTAAAGATATGAACGGATTGAACAGCCATAAGAACATCCATATCCTCCCTTCAGCGTCACTAAATTGCAACAACTCTCCTCCACTTTCTTCTAAAGATCCAATCACGCTATTCAAGAAATGAAAGATAACTGACCGAATGATAAAACAACCAGACTATTTAAATGGAAGCAAAATAACAACAACAACACATTCAAACCATAAGAATATTATCTTCTACATATTCATTAACAATGTAAATATTTCAATCCTCAATAATATTAAAATTGTCATTGGGTTTGTTACAACTTACCCCGTAATATCACAATCTGTACTGTACTAGTTTACAACGCTCTGAACATTGTGATTTCTACTAATAATAGATCTTAAAAGTAAAAAATGTAAAATGATCCTAATAACTTTAAATACACTGATATCTAGCTATGTACATCTAAATATGAACATATAGCAAAGCATCATTAACGCCATGCCGCAATTTCTACATATCATTTAAATACTTGTTTTCAATATACAAAAACTAGGCAATATATGTACAATAATATATACATTGGAGATATTTTCAACACTCCATGTCAGTCACATCTCTACTCTCCTCCTTTCTCGCTCTAGCTTGGGATTTGTTAATTTCACAATTTTTTTCATCATCAAGAGTATCAGAATCGTCGCTGAATCTTTCGTCCTCGTCCATGACTTCAAACGTGGGTGAAAGTGGTTCGCATGAGGAAACCCAAGAAGCAGAAGAAACAGTGGAAACATCGGAGCCCGCTCTTCCATCTGATCCTTGAGACAAACGATACGACGATTGCCTGACGAATCTTCTTCTCTTCAAACGAGATGAGTGAAGATCAGATGATTCCGCGGCCTGAGTCACGTTTGAAGAAGCGATTGAAGTAGGTGATTTAAACGTCATTCCGGCATATACAGGGCTGACGTGTTGCTGCTGCTGTTGATGAATAACATGGGTATTTATCGCGTTGTCGATCTGTAAGTTTTGTAGATGATGATGTAGAAGGGGTGGGATGAGTTCAGCGGAAACTGGTGATGCAGTTGCAGCGAGTAAAAGAGATGGCTGGACGAGGTAGTGATGAAGTTGCGTTTGTAGGATATTGCGACTATGAAGTAATCTCGTACTCTCTTCCGCAGATATGTCGATCATTGTTGGATCTGAAAAATCCATCTCTGCGCGTCTTTGTAACTTTGGCACTTTGAGTTCTACATGAACATTTTCAGCAGCTGCATCAATCCCGACACTAGTTGGATTTGATGATGCCGACGCCAACAATGCCTCATTCTCTGACGATAGATACACCTGTGCAGACTCGTCAGTACTGTTTATAACATTGCTAGAAAGTTGGTCATTTACAACACACCAAGCCTTTGAAGTTTCACGTAACCGGTGTCGAAATGGAACCGCATTGCTGCGAGCAGCTGCAGCAAGAAATTCGTCTGAAGCTCTTCGGCCCTCACGAAAGTTTACTGGAGACCTTGCTTCTCTGACGTCATTAGAGCCGTTCTTGTTGTTATTGTAACTACTGCCACCAGCATTATTGTTGGACTGTATTGAGGAAACAGTCAAACCTGATGTATTATTATGGGGAAACTTTGCGCTGAATGGAGGAGTCATCGTGTGCGGAAGAGAAGTGTTGTTACCATTCTTAGATATCAAGAAATGAGGTACATTAACTAAAGGAGTGTTGCAAGTTTTTGCAGGTTCATCACTTTTTGAAATTGCTCCAACCACTGTTGACGACGTTGCTGTTGTGAAAGAGCTTGTGATAAACTTTGGTATCACAGGAGAATATATTGCATGCAAAGCTTCTGGTGTCGCCATATTAGTGCTAGTAATTGTGGATGGATCAACAGTTGCATTGAAACTTGTTTGCTCATATTCCGAGTCAAAACTCAAACTTGGAGTATCAAATGTGCCAACACCTGTGCTAACTGATTGAAAACTTGAAGAGTCCTTGTGACTCAAATTGCCTAATGCTTCTCGACTTCTGTCATATTTTTTTAGATATCTTAACCCATAATATGGAAGATCTTGGCTGCTATCCCGACTGCACATAGATCCACACTCCATGTCCAATCCCTCATCAACTGATACTTTTTCTCGTTGTTGTTGCTGCTGCTGAAATAATTGCTGTTGTTTCTGTATTTGTTGTTGCATAGCAATAATATTTTTTTCTTCAACCTCTCTCTGAGAGCTTGGAAAATTCAACAAAGGTACCATTTGTACACAGTCTGTGGTTTGACTAAATATTCCTTGTTTTGCAGCAGCAAGCACATTTGGTCTGGGCATGACAGCCTGATCAGCAATGGAGCTAGGTCTCCTGGTAGGAGCTTCTTTTGAAAAATTGATGGTTGGTGCAGTGGCAACACCTCCTGTTGTTGCATTAGCCACCGCTATCAAGTATGCTGCTCTTCGCTTCTGAAGTTTTTCAAGAAGAAGAAAGTAAATGGCCGAATAATGGTTGAAGGCGTCACTTCGAACAGCCTGCAGAATTAAAATCAACGGATGAAAAAATTTGAATACATGAATTCAAAAATATAACTACAAATATCTCTATTCCAAAAATTTTCATGTGAAGAAGCTAGGAAATAAATATAGAATAAGAGCTGAACTTTCCTTGATAAAAACTGATAAATTTAAACAAAATCAATTGAATATTTAAATTAATACTTCAGTTATCTTGGCACGGTCCATTCCTAAATTTTGCATAAGTTTCAGAGCACATTCATCCATCTCCCTCGCTCCTCTCTTTATTGGACAGCCTTCCGTAAGCAGACTCGTTTTTGGAGGTTCCAAAGTTTCTTTAGATGTCATCCATTTGTGTTTTTTAATTTGGGATATTGTATAGCGACGTTTTGGGTCCACAACGAGAATTTTTTTTATGAGGTTTTCACAATCTGATAATGTTTATGCAATACAATTAATTAAATGCAGCCAAAAGAATAAAATTTTATGAAGTAAAAACAACACATCTTTATTAAACAAACATTTAACACTTAATCTATAGAAGAGTTTAGAAGAAAATAACCAGTGGACATGAAGTAGGGGATCCTAAACCTTCCAGCAAGAACTCGGTCTCTTAGAGTAGAAAGATTCTGTCCATCAAACGGCAGTGAACCACAAACCAGCACGTACAAAATCACTCCCAAACTCTGTTATATTAAATTTGAGAAACATTTATCAATTTTAAAAATATGAGGAGTTTTTAAAATGATTGATCAACAAATAAAATTTATTGATCAAACACACTGAACCAATGAAGCTGATTCTAAAATTAATAAAATGAAAGTATCTAATCACAGACATATTCAACTGGACGATATTCACGAGTTACTAAGTTGCTGGGAACATGGTGGAGAACATTTTTAACACCTCATGTTTTTATCCATTTGTGTTACACTGGCAACTGCAGAAGAACTCACATATTATTCCTCTACAACCAAATTCTAACCATGTTATCAGCGCTACAAAGACCACATATGCGCCAACTAATAGTACACACAAAGTCACAAAGATGGCATTTAACATTGTGGTGAAAAAATGAAAAGCAAAATCACTCTATATCAAACAACTGAGAAGAGGAAAAAGTCACAGACCCAGACATCGACTCGAGGGCCCAAGTACTTCTGCCCTTCAAAAACTTCTGGGGCTGCATATGGGGGAGAGCCACACCAGGTACTCAAGTGTTGATTCGTCATGAAAAAATTTCCAAATCCAAAATCTAGAATTTTTTAATTTATAAAGGTCAACAAAAAAAAATATAAAACTAGAAAAAACATAATAAATTCATCATGAAACAGTTTCAACCAAAAATACATACAGCAAAACTTGAGTTTTCTAATTTCGTAGAATGCTATATTTTAAAACTTTTTGATGGAAAAATTACAAAAATACTAGTGCTAGCCCAGATTATTTACCAATATAAATATTAGGGAAAATTTTCTAATTTCATTATTAATCCCATTTTTTAAAGTTTATGTTATTAAGAACCTGTCTGAAATATGAAGCAGATATTAACTGCTCACAAAGAACAGACGGATTGTGCCTATTAGAACAGGAAGCCAGGATAAGAGTTACAACAACAAATTATACTAAAGTTGATGTGAGGATTGAATGTTTGTTTGTTCATTGTTCAATGTCCTACATTCTCAGTCAGACTTTAGTTCAACACAGTTGAATCATTTTTAGACGTGTGACAAATTTTGATGTAGAAATAATTTAACAAATTTTTTAATATTTAAAAAATGATAAACAAACAGGGGCGTTGAAAAATAATTATGCAGATAAATGGCAAATAAATTGTAACCAATATATGCATTATCTTAATTTTATTTCAAAGTTGTAATAAAACACATTAATATGTAATTCATAAAAAAAATAACTGGTATATGATAAAACGTTTTAAAACCTGCAATTTTGATGTTCATATCTGCATCCAGTAGAAGATTTTCAGCCTTTGAGAAGTTTTTATAAAAAAAAATAAATAAAACAAATTTTACAAAATAATCAAAAAGTTTTGCCATCTATTTTTTTGTGCAGCTTCAATTTTGAACCCCATAAACTGACCTTCAAATCTCTGTGCACTACATGGTTTTTGTGACAATATTCCACTGATTCGACAATTTGTTTAAACTTTGAAAAAGCCTCCATCTCTGACAGCCTACCACTTTTAGCAATGTATTCTGTGTTGGACGATTAACAAACATCCTTATCAAATTAATTTGTAAGATCTAATCCAAACTATCTATACTGAACAATTAATAATATATGCAAGCAGCAAGCCATACCAAACATTTCTCCATTTTCTGCATACTCCGACACAATGTATAACATATTGGCTGTCTCCATAACCTTTTGAGAAGAAATATTGATTTCATTTTTCAAATTAAAAAAATAATGAATAAATTAATTACTGTTACATATGGAAGTCAAAAGTGAAACCTGGTAAAGTTTAATGATGTGAGGATGATCAAGCAATTTTAAAATTTGAACTTCTCTATAGATTTTTTTCAGGTTATCTTCATCTAGTCTATTTTTATCAATTATTTTTATAGCAACCTAAAATTTGAATAATTTATTTATATTATTAATTGTAATTGTCCTTGAATAAATGTTAATTTTAAAAGCAAAAAGAACCATTTTTTTAAACAAAATTCTAGCATCACTTTTCTTAACCGCATTTTTTATTTCATTTTTTTAATTCAATTTTTTCTCAATTCATCAAGACGACTTAAGGACTTATTATTCATTTATCACTGTTATTAGAACTAGAACCAAAAGCAAAAGTACTTATTAATTAAACAAAATGAAACAAATGATAGAAGATTGCATGCCAACCAACTAACCAATCAACCAACCAACCAATTGAATTAACCAACCAACCAACCAACCAACCGGTGTTTTGGTGATCCTGTGTTTCGCAAGTTTGACAACAGCAAAATTTCCTTTTCCGATAGTCCTTTCAATTTCATAAAACCCCACACGAACAATTGATGGCCTCTCAGATTCCGGGGCAGACGACGATTGACTAGTGGTAGAGCTGGTGGTGGCCGTGGTGGTAAGACATGTACCGGCAGACTTCATGCTTCTTTATTCTTATTAAGAACCAGGAATCCAGCGGAAGATGAAATATGATTTGTTGTTGACTGCAATGCAAATACACGGGTTTCAGATTGCATCTGACTGACTCCTTCACTTACTTGCCACCTTTCCCATCGTTTCTGCCACCGTGAGACTCGCAAGCGAACGGAATCGGAGTGCTTTTAGTTACAAAACAAATTATTAAACTTTCCTGCGACTACTTTTGAACGGCACTCGTCAATTTCTCTTTTTTCCGCCCACGTTTGTGTATATGACGTCATAGGCTCCGTAAGTGGGTCACGGTGGGTGGGGCCAACTTATTTTTTCTCCGTTGACGCAAATTCCGGCATATTTGCATAATAATGAGATGCTCACTGTTGCTTGTATTTTGACGGCAACGACGTATGATGATGACGACGACGAAGATGATGACGACGATGAAGAAGATGAGAATTATGATAACCAAATGATTAAGAAAATGATGGTATGATTAGAAGGTTAAACTTTATTTTTATCCTAACTATATTTAATTTATTCTTCTTGAATGAGGAGTGCTGCAACGACAGCTTGTTCAGTTAAGAATGTGAATAATGCTTACCAAATTGATAATGTTTATAATTAATAATGTTTTTAATACATAATTAATAATTATAAATAATTTTTATAATATATTTAATAATGCATATAATTCTCAGACAGTATTTATTAATTTTAATTTATACAATAAATTTATGTAAGCAAAACAATTCTGTTAGCCTTCATGATTGGTTTTCAAATAATTTTTCAAAATTCATGTACATATGTAGGAATGTATGTATGTATATGTCTGCATAATTACATTATTTATATATATGTTGTATGTATATATATATACCACCGATACAACTACTATTGTACATAATCATCATAGTGAATGGCTAAACAGATTTCAATCTACTGTTTCGAATGAATGCGCTGTTAGTTTGTGAGTTTGTTTAGGGGTCATGAAAGAATTGCGTGGAGGTGATCTGATGACGTATTGAGAAGCAGCTGCTATTTGTTTCAACCAACTTTTATTTAAATAATCTCATCCAGCTACAAATCCATCCATCTATCCATTCATCAGTCGATCTATCCAAATACCTTATTTCGAACATTTTGAATGTTATGTTTAATGATAAATGGAATGATGAACTGAGCATCTTCGCGTATGAAAACAATTTCTTTTTCCTATGCTCGTAATAAAACGTAACGCACGTAATTAAATATATAATAATTATATATATATATATATATATATATATATATATATATATATACTGTACTGTATGAGTTCTACCGAATTGTTGGCATTAATCAATTAAAGTCTGGAAAAACATCCAACCTTTTTCTTTTGCTTCACACAACTTTATCTTAATTTACCTTTTCAATGTATAACATCTGTGTTTTAATATTTAAAAGGTAATTAAGCAATATATGGTGGCAAAATATTAAAAAATTCCGACAAAATGGTTGTAGACTGTTGATAACGGGAAATCCGCCATTGCAAATGTATGAAACATCTTCGCAACGTTATCCTATATGAATCTACACATAACAAGCAATTCTTTTTTCGAATTTTTTCTTGTCTTTAAGATTTTATATACAATTTTAGGTTTATTTGATCACCGGAGAGGAAATGTTTGAAATAAGTTGATGACCGAAAGGGGAGAATTTTCAACAAAAAGAAGTTGATTACCTGGGGTAGGAGAATTCGCCAATTTTTTCAAAATTTTTCCAGTGTTAAACCGGTTCCAAAGTTTTTGGTAACGTCAATTTTTTCAAAAATACCTCATTCTCCTAAGCAACCACTTTTACTAACTTTTAATACATATAATGCACACAACTGTCTTCTAGATCCGGAACTGGTGCCAGACACAGTCAAAGACTCTCAAAATGTACAAATAATATGAAAAGATCGTTTGCCCAATATTTTTGGTATTTGTTATTGTTATTTGTTATAATTTTGGTATAATTATAAGAGTTTTTCTAAGATTGTAAATGAAATAGTTAATTGTCACCAAGTTAACATAGTTGATTAGAAATGTCATGTCACACGCTGCAATTTCTAGAGATGAACCGAATGTTCGGCCTAGCCAAACATTCGGCCAAAATTTGACATTCGTTTTTGGCATTAGCCATTTTATGGAAATATTTTGGTATTTTTTACTTTCCTACAGTATCAATGTTATTATGCTCTAGCGCAACTTTCGTTAAAACCATCATTTTTTAAATTTTAGAACAATTGTTAAATATTGTTAGTAGAAAATTAATTTTTGCCATCATAGCTGTTAAAACATCTAAATTTGAGCAAGGGATTGAATTTTATCTTGATAAAGAATTGTTTGATAGACGGAAATTGCCTACTGTTTAATAGATTGTTTATCATTCTAAAGAATTAAATTTGTTTTAAATTTGTAGGTAATTTATGGTATGCTACTGCTTGCCATACCGAGTACTTTTGGCTGAATGTTGGATCAGCTATTCACTTTTCAGGGCATATATATCCATTATGCGTTGGCATAGTTCGCGAACCGTCTGTCCGAAACTCAGACTATCATACCAATATGATGCAGTGCTTGCACGTGCATACGGAATAAAACAAATTATATTAATTTATAAATTTATATGTAATGTATAATATATAACTTGATTTATGCATTTTCATCGATAAATTTTAATAAACTGATTAAAGAAACACGCCCTTTAAGAGCGTCTGTTTATTGTGGAAATTGTGGGCCATGTATATATATTTTTTTCCATGTTGTGGAGTGGACAAACTCCATAGGTTAAGAACTTATGGAATTTGTAATTTATGAACGACTTATAAATTTGTATACATAATCTTTTCGTTAAAACTTTTATAATATTACTAAAATTAAGTCTGTGATTTTATAAATTATCATACTTATCAAAATTAAACAGATCTTGATTTAAAATTAGAATTATATTTTAAATGATTTTAAATCAAAATTTTAAATGTCAAGATTTTGCGTTTAGTACATTGAATACTATTGTATAATTAATTAAATAAATATTGCTCTATCGCATGTAAATATTGATAATTTTGTTGAAAGAAAGAAAATATTAAAAATACCATCTTTTGTATCCATTTTATTTCTATGGAAAGCAACGTAAATTAAATTCAACCGACGTTGGTTGGGACTAAAAATAGAAACCTACGTAATTCCTTGCTTCATTCATCAACATGAAACAGCCAATGAGCGCACGGCTCTTGATCACGTGTACGTTCGTTAAATAAACATGATTGTGACGTTCAGCCTGCGCTTGTTTACTACGTACAAGAATTGCGTGCCGGTGGGTACGAATGTGCGTGGAGCAGTGCCAGTCATTCATAAAAAAACGACTCTCCGTCTTCGTTATGTCGGTCGAAACTTGCAAGATTTGTTGAACGAAAACACGAAACAATGTCCGCAAAGCATGTGCTTCGTTTATTTTTGTATTCATGCCCTTGCATATTTTGTGCTCCGATTACTTATTACAAATAATTCAACCCGAGACTGATTGATGCAGTCAAGATGATAGAGAATGAAATGAGTAGGTGAATGGGGGATTTATTGAGTGAATTATCATCGTCAAACCGAATAAATGGATTAAAATCATTAGCGAATTAAATAAACGAATGGATGAACTAAATAAATGTATGAAAGAAATAAATGCATAAATGAAATAAATGAATGAATTGTATTAATGAGTTGATGCATGAATTATATAAATGAATAATTTAAAATAAATCACTGAGTTAAATAAAGGAATGATTCTTGGAATCAATGAGCTAAATAAGGTCAATGATTTGACAAAAGTTGATACATAATGAAATGAATCATGAATGAATGAGGAATTCTAGTATGCCTAAATTTTGTTTGAATACTCAAGCAACATGCATGTACCAACGGTCAGACCTCCGTATAACGAGGTTGATGGTTTCAGGAAAAAATTCGTTATATAGAAATTTCGTTATATAGAATTTGTTTGTGAAAAAATTCTATAACGACTAGAAAGTGTTTATATGCTATATATTTATGAAATGAATACTACATATGAAAAAAAAAGAATACTACAGCAAGAAACAATAAATGTGGTTCTAAGATAGTCCTATTAAATGAGTGGAATCACACAGCCCATATCAATTCAATGAATGTTTGCTGGTCGGATATTTCTTTCAACTTATAATTTTTGTTTGTTTGTATAGAGAATTTTTTTGTTCTATAGAAACAGTTTTATATGTAAAATTTCAAGATCCTACATCATAAAAATTCGTTGTATAGAGATTTTCGTTGTATAGAAGTTCGCCAAAAGAAGTCCAACTGTAATTGATTCAGACTTATACAAAACATGCGATATGTATGTTAGTATCATGATGTGTTAGGTTGGCGTGTTATATAACGCGATTCATTTTGTTTATTACGCTTTTGTTGAAGAGTAATGATAAAAATGTGACCAGGACTGTTACAATGATTGCAAGGTTTAAACAAATGAACGGAGCCATTTGGAAATATGGAGGCCAGTAGTAAGTTGCCAATTTGTTTTTTTTTTTTTTATGAAGATTTAAATTAACAACTGCACGACAAATTTAACAATGAACAAGCAATAATATAGAACGGTACGTTGACAATTCTTGGTGTCAAAATTTAAAAAGTATGCAAAATAGTAAAGAGAAAAAATATAATTACAGAAAAAAATTGCTAAAACTTATGTAGCCGTCAAACCTGAAATTGTCTACTTACAACAAAAATTTTTAAAATATATTTTTCTATTGTTATTTTTTCCGTGTACGTATAAAATGTTTACTTGAAAAAGTTTTGTTATAAAAAAACTAGTTAAAGGTAACTTAGAAAAAATTGAATTATTAATTTAAAATACTTCACAAGTATATCAACAGAATAATGAAGAATTAAAAGAGTAAACAAAATGTTTATAATCTTTGCTTATTGATAACGTAGTCAAAATTTTGATGACGTTTATTTATTGATGAATTGCAGCGGCCAACTTTTAATATTGCAACTAGCTTCCCAGCTTCTATAAACTCTTAAATAAAGTTTTTCTTACAAAAATAAGTCAACTAATTTATTATCGAAGTGTATATATTATAATTATATAACAGCAAATAATTAAAATGAGAGAAATCATTCATTTGCAAGTTGGCCAGTGCGGTAACCAGATTGGTACTAAGGTTATTTACATTTACAGAATTTTTATTTAATTTGCCGCGTTAAAATCAAATTCTTACTGTAAGCAATTGAAAGAAAATAAAATGAACAACCTCAGTTTTGGGAAATAATATCGGAGGAGCATGGCATCGATCAGCTGGGCATGTACAGAGGCACTAGCGACCTGCAACTCGATCGACTGAACGTTTACTACAACGAAGGAACTGGTTATAAGAATTCTTGTCTAACTTTTTTTAACGTCGATAATACATGATTTAATTGCTTTAAATTTGATACCAGGAGGCAAATATTACCCTCGTTCAATTTTGGTGGATCTGGAGCCAGGAACTATGGACGCCGCAAGGGCTGGTCCGTACGGGCAAATGTTCAGACCCGACAATTTTGTGTTTGGTAAGCTTGCTACTTTATCATCGTCTATAAAACTGAAATCAGCCATTTTTTTCATATGAGCTAAATGTTAATACATTGCTCTGGCTATCTATTTTTATAAATCAAATCAAATTTTATTCAATCAATCCAAATTAATAATAATTAAGTAATGATTAGGAGACCAAAGCTAATCGGTAATTATTAGTTATTAAAACTTTGAAATTAGTAAAAATATTTTCGAATGTTCCCAAAACTTTTTCCCATATATAAAAAATAATTTTTAGCAATTTTCCCCGTGTTCGAAATAAGCTGCTTTCTGTGATAATTTTGTTTTTATATCACAAAACATCTCCAAAAACACACATCCATGTAAAAAATCAAATTCAAAGCGTCTTTTGCAAGTAAAATATGGCTGCTCGTGCCATTTTTTAAATAAACAATTGATAAAGTTAGTTTGAAAATATCAGCAGCACTAATGTTTTTGACGTGAAGGCCACAGTGGTGCGGGCAACAACTGGGCCAAAGGGTTTTACACTGAAGGAGCAGAACTAGTGGATGCTGCGCTGGATGTCGTTCGTCGTGAAGCAGAAAGTGCTGACTGCCTCCAGGGAGTTCAGCTGACTCACTCGTTAGGGGGAGGTACGGGATCTGGCATGGGTACTCTGCTGCTCACTAAAATGAATGAAGAGTACCCCGATCGTATAATGATGTCCTTCTCTGTTGTCCCTTCCCCAAAAGTTTGTTAATTCTGTTGTAAACTTTACATCACATTACAACACATTCTATAGCTATTCTTAACTTAGATCATCTGTTTTCTAACAGCTATAAACATCTAAACCTTGCGAACATTTTTTAAAATTGAAAATTAAAACTAACGCGTCACTCACTAGGTGTCGGACACAGTCGTTGAACCGTATAATTGCACACTGGCCATGCACCATCTCGTTGAAAACACAAGTGAAACGTTCTGCATGGACAATGAAGCCCTCTACGACATTTGTTTCAGGACCCTCCGCCTTTCAAACCCAACTTACGGAGATTTGAATCATCTTGTTTCTGCAACCATGAGTGGAGTCACCACGTGTTTGCGCTTTCCTGGACAGGTTAGTTTTTAAATAATCTTCTACGCTTAACCATTTTACATTTACATTTTACAGTTGTTTAGACTCAACTGTTGTTGAATAACTGTAAAGGACAATGAACTTGTTTATTTGTTCTCAATAAAGCTAACCATCTTTGAAACTTTTGAAATCAAAAATCGAAAATATAACGAAAAAGCAAAAAACAATAATAAATATTTAAAAAGGATCTTTCGGCATGAAAAACTTTTTATTTAAATTATTTGATATAAAACATTTAAACAAATTAAAGTTGAACGCCGATCTGAGGAAGCTGGCAGTGAACATGGTCCCATTTCCGCGCCTCCATTTCTTCGTTCCTGGATTTGCTCCCCTGACTGCCAGGGGCAGCCAACAGTACAGAGCCCTGAACGTGTCCGCCCTCGTCCAGCAGATGTTCGATGCAAGGAACATGATGGCAGCTTGCGATCCTCGACACGGAAGGTGAGGACCGGTGATGATTAAAGTTGAGAAATCGTTAAACATTTTTAAAGAATTTGTCAATTTAGACTGATTTTACTTTTTATACATTTAAACTGTGATTTTTTTTAATGCAAAATTTTTAATCTACATGATCTAGTTTAGCAGGAAATTGTAATTTTGAAAAGAATAAAATCGTGTTAAATTGTTATCAACACTTGCAGGTATTTGACTGTCGCCACAATGTTTAGAGGGAAGATCTCCGCCAAAGAAGTGGACGACCAGATGTTGAACATGCAGAATAAGAATAGTCCTTACTTCGTCGAATGGCTGCCCAATAACGTGAAAACTTCTCTTTGCGACATTCCTCCTTGCGGCTTGAAGATGTCTGCAACCTTCATCGGAAACACAACTGCGATACAGGTATGAATGAGAAGAAGATATATTATTCATTAGTAATGTATTTCACTGAATTTTGAAAATGAGATTTAAATTACTGACAAACTTGAATTATATTTCTCACTATGCACTGAAAATCAATTTTATAAGGAATTGTACAAGCGTATATCGGAGCAGTTCACTGTGATGTTCCGCCGGAAAGCCTTCTTACACTGGTACACGGGCGAAGGCATGGATGAGATGGAATTCCAGGAAGCACAAACGAACCTGAACGACCTCGTCTCAGAATACCAACAGTACCAAGAAGCCAAGTGCACAGATGAAGCAGAGTTTGATGAGGAAGAGATTGACGACGTGGACGAAAGCAAAGAAATACAGTAACGTAACTTACCTGCTCTGCAGCGTCTATTTAATATTTCTCATCTCTAATATCGATTATCTATTATCTCTATTAATCTATTATAGACACAATTACGAATAAGTTTATTCAGTTAAAATAATTAGACCATCTAATTTTTTTTACCAGCAAGCAATAAATAATTACATGTGTGTAAGTTCGTTTAAAGATCTGCACACATTTTTCCCCTATGAAAATCATTTGTATCGCCACAAGGATGTAGCAACTTTGAAATGGAAAAATTGTTTTAAAATTTAAAGTTTAAGTTTGTGCAAATTTTGGTGGGCATACAGTAGAAATCCATTTGGTTACATATAAAAAAATAGTTGCACACACACACACACACTAGCCTCTAAATTACATTTACACTGCACGTGCATCCGACTGATTCTATCTGTAGTTTTCTACAATAATTTCTCATTAATATTAGGTACGGTCCGCTGAGTGCTTAATTAAATGGTTATATCTTACAGCGCTGGCTTCTTTACTCTTTCCACTGTTTTACTTAATTCTACAGTTATTTTATTTTATAAATTTTTTTTATGCCACACTTTATTGTATTTTACGCATAACATTTCGGGAGTATAATTTTTATTTGTACATTGAACAAAATATTCCATTTTTCCTTTTTTGTCTAACATTAAACGCCATGTCTTTATTTATATTTACACTTCATTTTATATTTTTTTCTATTTAAAACAAACATTTATTTTTTCAGTAAAAAATCGGATAACAATAGATCAGTTTTGTCATTTTTAACTTTGTTTTTGCTCATGCACGCTTACACTTGCATCATACATTTACATGAGGTGTTCAAGTTTTGTGGGCGTTCCTATGTATCTCTGTGCTTTCTATATATTCTGCAAAGATTAGCGTGAAGAACTAATATTCAATTTTTTAACGATGCGGTGTTTTGTGTTTAAACAAATAAATAAGTGATAATCGTTAGAAGTTTTTATCTTCCTAATTTAATGCATTGTCCAATCATAACAGTTATGTAGTGAACACAAAATACGAAACTGTAGTTTGATACATTGATAGATACATTTTTTAACAATTAAAAATATCATACAACGGTCGATACATTACATTTAGAAGTGTCGTTTTTCGGAAGGCTGGGTGCTGCGTAACAGACGGGTCTCATTTTTGGACTCAATTCGTCTGTTGTCGTGAGATCATTTTCTTTTAATAATAAATTCAACGGGTTTGAGGTATTTTGAGAGTGAAAATTATTCGTGATGGGAGTGTTGATAGGATGCTCAGCGGAGTTTGGTTGCTGCTGCTGCTGCTGAACACGAGGTTGCTGATGTTGAGGACAATGATGGTGAAGCATTTTGTTTGAATGCAGCGTTTGAATATCTGATTGTCTGACTGATTGACTTTCACTGAACCTGACATTATATTTGCATTTCTGGTCATCCAGTTTATCGTAATCAATCATTTTAATTCTGTTCAAAGTTGAGATGTTCAAAGAGTTTAGATCATTACACTTGGAAGCGGTTAGGTAATTTGTTTTATCTATGATAAATGAAGCGAAACTGTAATCAGCTGATTCAACATTGCAGTTCGAATTAAAATCAATGCTGGCGTTCCCGTTTTGCACGTCAGTTTGCTTTTTTAACACGATCGAGTTTGTTGATGTTTTAGGGATAGTGTAAAACTTTTCGAAATGCCGTTTGTTTGATACATTTCTGTTCAAAGAATTTGTGCTCGCGTTCGTGTCATTCAGAATGTTGTCGATGTAGTTCGTGAGGCTGGTTGAACTTTGCAGTTTGTTTACGCTGCTGCTGATATCTGTGTGGTTGCACAAAAAGGAGGGTTCTTTTAAGCCACCTTCGTTCTTCCTTTCGTGCTTCATTTCGCAAGGTCGAGTTATTTGCAAAGTTTTCTTATCGAGTCGGTTTGATCGCTTGTTGTGTTCTAGTAAATAATCAACCGAATCACAAAATTTTGAAGCGCTTAATCGATTTTCAAAATCAGAAATGTCAATTTTCGTATCTAAACGACGCTTGAATTTTCGTCCCAAAAAATGCCACTGAACAAAAGTGGTGATAAAAAGAAAAACGTTTAAAACTAAGAATACCAATCCGATGAGAATTGTGGTTGTAAGTAGAGACCAGCCGCGCTGACTCGGGTTGTCCTTCTTACTTTCAATGATGCCGTTTGTATCAAAGTTTACGGCGTTGAAATTGTTTTTGTGAAACGTTGAGCGAGAATTGACGTATTTGGACGAGGTGTGAAACTCGTTGGTCGAATGACTTAACCATTTTTCAAACTTTTCATGGTCTGTCATGTTTTCTTCATTGCTGTCGTTTGAGTAGAAAGAAAAGTTGTCTGTTTTATTGAATGACGTTTGAAAAGTCAGGTTAGTTTGCTGTTTATAGAGTTGATCAAACGATGCATGAAGTGGATTATGATGTGATGCATTTGACCAATGACTCGTGAAAAAGCCGGGACAGGCAAAATAATGAAATATCAACGGATTGTTTTGACGATGTTGTTGTCCATTAAACAAAGGTGCACGCTGTCCAAGTTGGTAGTAGTAGGGTTTTAAAAACGTAAAAAGTGAGTTGTCAAACTTTTGCGGTGGTGAATTGAAGTTGTCGATTTCAAGCAAACAGTTCGTCAAATAGTTTTTAAAATTTTTAAAATCATTTCTGTAGCAATGACTCAATGCGGAGCTTATCACTTGTTTGTCTGTCAGTGTCGTATCGTCTTCGAAGCACTCCCAATCATTAACATTCCCATTAATAATGTTATCAACATCTTCATCAATTTGAAAATTTTCTCGACAATCCAGCTTATGCAGTTGATGTTTTTTGAAATCGACATCACTTTTGGTACCGAAATCCAAGTCATAATCATCGTTTAAAGCCTCATCACTTCCTTCTTCACCAATTTTATGGTCCAAAATTTCATCAACAGCATAGTCGCCAACATCAACTTTATTATTATTACCCTGTTCCTCATGGCTTGCAACGTTCTCACGTTTACCTTGCACTGGCCTGTTGTAAACATAATCATCCATCGCAACATCGGCATGCCATCCATCTTGATGCACTCTTGGGATCAGTTGCAGCCACAACGCCATCTTCTGCCCTCTGAAGTGATGCCTCGTGCTCGCCGTGCTTGCTGTATTCAAAAAAATGTTTAATGTGAACATATTATTAACATTTCTCATGTGCGTATGAATGCTATCTGGCTGACCGAATATAAATTCACAAACTCGCGAGCACAAACACACGGGTAAAACACCGATATGCGAATATATGCAATGCAATGCAAATGTAAGAGGTCTATCAAACAAAAAGGTAACGATGTGTATTTTTATATATTTATATTTGCAATAGATTATATATATATATATATATATATATATATATATATATATATACTTAGTCGTGGCGGTCAAAAATGTTTAACTGTAATTTTCAATCTTCTCCGAAAGTTTTGATTCTGGCTGCGGCTTTGAAACCTGAAATATATAAAGTTTTTAAAGCTGCTCATTACAACGCAATTCCGTTTTTTTCTTTAATTTATCTAATCCCTAATACTTCAAATGGGCTATTTAAAAGCATTCATGTTGAAAATTCGGCCAATGAACTATTTTTTCTATCCGTTCTGTTCAGTTGCATCGATAAGAGCTTTTCATTGGCCTCTTAAACTCTGGAACCCACGAATCTGATGCCCTCTGAGGAATGTTGAAAAAAATGGTCTGCTGATTAATAAACATTGCAACAAACTTATTTTAGATAGCCGACAGATGAAACCCACATAAATACGAGCAAATATACAAAAATAAAATTTTTGCCTCTTTTTACGATAATTTTCAATATTTTTTTATTCGTGTGTAAAGTGTACACAACATTTAGACGCACGTAACGTGTAAATAAAATTTCTTGAAATACCAGAAAACAAACGAAAAGAAGCAATGAACCTTCAAAAGGCGGCTGATTGATCGCCATCAATAACAACTTATTCCTCTTAATCCAATCAATAAGTAATTTAAAAGAGTCTGGCTGTCGTTTTTGCCCGTAATGTTGGTTGTAAAAGTGGGTGGCAAAGATTAATACCGTTTCTTTGCTGTTGCATTTTTATTTGCTTTTGTTTAATGAATAAAAAAATGGCACAAACGCCAAAAAATTCAATTTTCTGGAATTTTATGACTAAGTCGCCGCTTCTAATTAAGGTAAAATATTTTTCCAACCAACCAGCCAACCAACCAACCAGCCAGCCAACCAACCAACCAGCCAGCCAACCAACCAACCAACCAACCAACCAACCAACCAACCAACCAGACAACCAAGCAGAAGAAATAGCAGAAACAACAAACAGCATGAACATCAATACGGGGCACAGCGCGCAATAAAGAGTCCAGGCAGGAAACATCAGAGGACCGACAACATGGCACCGATACATTATTACAAACACACTAGACACAAGCCAACAAATAGGACTAAATAACTTCAATGAAGATAGTCTCAGTTGATCACAAAATTTTGAAAACGAAATGTGTTTCATATTGCTTTTATTTTAAAAAATGACTTAATTTTAATCATTATTTAGATAATAATTGAAAATTTGATAATTGAAAAAGATTCTGTCTAAACGGCTCATACAATTAACGTTGAAAATTAAATTTTTGATCAACCGGAAAGGTGCCTGTACGTAGTCTTTGATATGCAGACCTTTATAATTTTGTTAAATTTTTTTATCTACAGAAATTGAAATATACAACACTCGTGATGACTCCAATAAAAACACAATGAACGCGCTTCTTCAATATCAAACAACAGGCCAAGAAATCTCAGGAAGCAAAAAATGTCTACAACCGCAACAAACGACATGAAGCAAGAAGATGTTGAAAGACAACCCGCGGACAGAACTCCCGACGGAATCGCATTAAATGAAACAATTACTTAGGCCATTCAAATTTTATTTAGTGCTTCTCGCGACAACTATCGAACCGAAGAACGGGACACCACACACCACTGCTTGTATACTTGGTTCAAATATCATTCTACTAAATAATGCTACATTGCATAAGGTCTTCGTTCACTATTACTACTAAAAGTCAAATAATTATAATAGTTCTGTTTACATGATTTGAATAAAATTACGTTGGCGCGAAAATGAGAAAATATAATAATAACAACTTCGCCCCGTTGATTCACAGGTTGGCACACTGAGCAGTGAGCACCACAGTGCCTGCCTACTGAAGAGCTGAGAAACAGAAGGAAATTATAACATCGGAAAAACAACATTGGATTATATAAAGCCCACATGCGATCATCCGCTAAAATGTACGCTGTAGAAAAAAAATGTTCAGATATTTCTAGATTCGAAATAAATTTTACAAAAACAAAATAATAAAAAAATGAAAAAATTGGAAAACGGAAAAAGAAAGGAAAGTATGAAACGCGATGTGTACACGGTAATCTCGTAATAAAATTTAATCCGTATCAACCGACTGATTTTGATTTTATTTAGTCAATATCGACTGTCCTTTGACATGCGTTTCTTTCAATTTTTGTTTCTTTATCTGCATAACTCCTTCAAGTACATAAATGATGGACTGACACCTTTCCAGGCTGTGCGCAACATTTTCCTGTTTCCGTCTTTTCTTTCTCTCTTCGTTCCCACTTACTTCCTCACAGATGTTTATATGAAGGATTTCAAGTTTGACGGCATTTTTCTACTAATCAAAGCGCAAACATATTATTATTATTACAATGTTATTATTGTAATTATAATAATATATCCTGCAATATTCAAAAATTTCATGAGACTTGAAACTATTGAATAAGATACAATGATGATGTGACCCGGACAGTAGCATTGGGAAATAAAGAAACATTTAATAAACAAAGTTTGTTAATCTATCTAATGCGTTTGATCATATTTATCTGTCAAAATAATTGAAAAGACAGGCCAACAACATTCAATCGCATGATCAATAAAAGGACTGGCTGTGGAGTCCAATAAAAAATTTGAAGTCTGAATATAGAATGCAATTGTTTGATCGATTGGTTGATTGATCAGTTGATTGAGAATGATTGAATTAATTGAAGCCTAACTTGCTGATTGACTAAAAGCCGGGTGATTCCATTACATTTTTGATTGATTGGTAGTTAGGATGATTAAGTAATGTAAAGCACGGTGCATTCAAGCAATTCGTTTCATCTCACATAATGACAACTTGCTTCAAGTTACTTCACTTTATAAATTAGATTACCACATTTTATACGTAATATCATTTTTTTTACTTAACACCACTTTACATATTGCATTAATTTATTAACCATTTTTTTGGATTCAATTCATCATTGTTCCGACCGACCGTCAGCCCAACAATACGAGCAAGAACACCATCCGGCAGGTTTCCTACGCCATCAATCTTCGTTTTTTAAACATTCTCAAGTTAAAATGGTGAATGAAATGACAGCTACTGAGCTGGTCATTTCGGTGAATTATGAATTATTATTGCTACTCTTAAGTCCCAATTTCATTCGATAGAAGATGCAGATGCATCACATCAATAGTAGTTGTTGCCGTTTAAAGTTATAATTAACATCATGTTTTAAGCTTATAATGAAACCTTCAACTCAAAAAAGTGTCGTCTCTCATGTAAGAGGAAGCGCTTCACAAACATTTCAGTTTTTCAAATAGTTTATTAACTAAATTTATAGTCAACTGAAATCAACAACACCTCGACACAACAACACTTTAACACAACAATTCAACACAATAATACTCAAACACAACACCTCTAAACAACTATTAGTCAGCAACACAGCAGTACAACAATACCTTAACAGAAAAACTTTTCAACACAACAAAACTTCAACACAACAAAACTTCAAAAAAACACTTCAACAGAACAACACTCAAACACAACACCTCAAAACAACAACTCCTCAACAAAACAACACCTCAACAGAACAACTTTTCAACACAATAACACTTTAGCACAACAACACCCTAATACAACAACATCTCAACAAACCCTCACAACAATACAACAACATATCAATATAACAACTTTGCAACACAACAACACTTCCACACAACACTTCAACACTTCAACACAACTACAATCCCAGCAACAATACAACAACACCTCAACACAACTACGTTCCAAACAACAACACAGCAACACAACGGGACCCGCACAGTGTTTTAAACTCATCGGACCAGTTGATAAATTAGAACAAAACGCAACGAACATACGAAATTGAAGCTTCAGTCCCATAAATACCAGCCCCAGCATCGAATCAACAAACAGCTGAAATGTATTTGTCCCAGCGCAAGCTAGAGAACGTATAGCCGGGGTTGCCTTAGTTCATCAACGTTCTACCGCCTGGCGCTGGCCTGATTTATGGACGGAACGTGACGGGCGAAATAACCACGCGGTAAGGTGATTGATTCGTAATAACTCACATAATAACAAATACAACTGTTGCACGCGGTCGTAAACCGGCCATGTTGGATTAATGTTGACGTCATCATCTCTGTCACGTGATCCTTTCATTCTTTCTCCGTTGGGATCTCTGAAACGTGATGATGTTAGAGTAGTCATTATTGCATTATATAATAATAATAATAATGTTAATAATACTACTGCTGCTGCTACTACTGCTGCTGCTACTTTTTACAGCTACAGCTACACGAAACAGAAGCTACTACTACTACTGCTGCTGCTGCTAACTTCTCTACTAATGTTAATGATAACAGTAGTACGATAAAAACAATAATAATGATGAAACAATAATAATATTATTAATAATAATAACAATAATAATATCACCAATTGATAAAACACAGTTCTAAATATAAAGATAAATAATAATAATTATTATTTTTAATGTTTTTATTGAGTTAATAAATATACTGACTAAAATTGATAACAACACATTAAGCATAAAAATAATGTTAAATAAAATAAACAGCAATATTTGTTACGGAGGCAAACGCAGGCAGGCAGATGTTGTTACTGTTCAGCAGTTCTTGGGTGTGTTGGGTTTCGCTGGTTGTGTTCCATTGTTATATCGATGTTTATTACTATTACTTTCATTCTTTTAATAATATTATAAACACTTAACGAAAATTTTTTTGTTGCTACATAGCCAGGGAAGTCCAACTGAACTCCCCAATGTCGCCTCATTGATATTAATGCCAGGCTTTTTATTGAACAGCAACAACACTCGTTCATGTTTGTTAGAAGAATGCTTGAATGCAAGTGTGTCTGTGTTTGTAATGTCAATTGCATTGTGTGTTGGTGTATGTATAAATTGCATTATGTGTTGGAGTATGTATGAACTGCATTATGTGTTGGTGTATGTATAAATTGCATTGTGTGTGTGTGCATGTGTGTGTGTATGGGTGGGCAAGTTTTTGTGTGCGTGCGCGTTTATGTGATTATGTGTGCAACGTTTGTGTGTAGGTATGAGTGTAGATTTTTTTTTGATATATGTGTATTTAAGGAGGCGTGTATACATGTTTGTTTGTTTGCATTGCGTCTTTCTATTTACGTGCGTGTTTGCGCTTTTTGTGCGTACAAAATTTGTTGTGATGAAACGGGCATCGAGGAACTTCCACAAACTTGTCATGTCATGCAGCTTCTCAGTTGTATAATGAATAAATTTTTTATAAAATTTTTGCTGTAGTTTTTCAACCTGCGTGGTTTGTGGTTTTGATGTGAAATTTGTTGGTGTATGATTTTATTTGGGGCGAACGACGTGTGGGTAATAAAATGCGTGCATTTGCCAAGTCGTCAGGTCGGAATGTCCGCAACTGAGCTGTAAGAAAAACCTAACAAGAACATTCCCTCGCGAAATCTATTTTTAAAACTGTACTACTGGCAGAGTTGATTTGTAATAAAAAGATTATTACGAGGTGTGCGTACGTACCCGCTGTGTACAAAATTGGACACGTATGTCATCAAGCTTACGGCGAGAGCATCTAAACGCTGCTTTGTAGTGGAGGTCGTCGCAGTTGATGGCGATGATGATGAAGAAGGTGATGATGAAGATGATAACGAAGATGACGACAATGGTGGTTTCCTCATCTTGTAATCATTTTTGCGAAGGAACATATAATCCAGTTCTACTCCGCAGCTTTGCCTCGATCTATCGCTTTGATCAAAAACCGCAAAGTAAACTCGTGGTAATGATTTCGGTAATGGAAAAAATGATGTTGTTGATGATGATGACGATTCTTGCAGTGGTCCTTTATCAACTATTTTCCGAATAATATCACGGCTTGTTGATCTGGAGTGCGAGTTGTTTGACGGAGAAGTTGTTCTGACATCACTACCAACACCGTCTGCCAGTGTGCGGTTGTCCGTTTTGTTTAGTGGAAAATGTTTGCTGACCCGTCTGAGCAGGGTGCCATTAAAATTTCCATCACTCAAATGCTCCATCATCAAATCAGATGCCCACTCGTAAGTGCTGCTGCTGCGAAAGAGCGGGTATCGCTGACTGGACAACAAGTTGTTCAACATGGCGACTGCAGGCGCGTTCAGCAGCGCGTCGTCGAGGAAGTTGATAGCGGCTTCGAGGGTGGTGTGGGGGTTGCCCGGCGGTCGATCCCAGTCCCTGTAGTGGTGGCGCAGGATCTCGTATATCTAGAAGGGAGGATGGATGAGTGGGTGAGTGTTAACTGGTTGCATTTCGTGGTAATATGGGCTGCAGGAATGCTAAATTTTTATGAAACTTTTAAAGGGGTTTGTATTTTTTTAAATTTCAACATTGATTATTTTTTTCATTGAATTTTTAATATAAATTTAAAACGCAAAAAATGCTGTTTAGAAAATTAGCGAAGCAATAAAACATGCTTGTTAGATAGTGGTATTAATGTGAATCTTTTTAACAGTATGAAAGAACATAAACAGTTGAATTTCTCTGCAAAGATGGATTGGCTTGAAAAAATAAAAAATAAAAATAAATGCACACGAAAGCTTATAAATGGATTGGAAAGAGCGCGAATTGATGTTAAAGAATGTCAGAAGGATGATGGGAGGTGATGGGGGTGATGGGGGGGTGATGGGGGTGATGTCAGTCAGCACTCCATGCCACTCAACTCCATCAACATTTGTAAAGGTTTTCAATCACAAATAGTATGAGCTTCATACTCGTTTTGTTGCTATTATTACAGCGTAAATATTTTTTACATAATGTTGATTGAATATTGAATAGAAAACTTTTTGACAGTCTAACAATACATACACGCACGCACGAATCAACACACTCACCACACACTCACCCACACACACACACACACACAAACAAACAAACAAATATATATTATATATTTATAAATTGAAAAATTAAACCAATGTTCAAAGGTATTCGTAGCTCAGTGCGAATAGAATTGCACCGACCAGCACCTTCTTCGATTCTGCTAACGCGCAGGAGACTTCAAGAGTACATCAGCCGGCTGGCTGGAACTTCTACGCTACATTGCAATGTGTGCAAATTGCTTTATTCTCCGCAATTTTTCAGACGACTTTGAATGGCTTGAAACTTTTACACGTGGAACTGGGGGGTCATCTTTCTTCACTTCACTTCTGCATCATTCAACCTCTCGAACTTCTTGCGAAAGTACAGAAATGCTTCAAAGTTGTATTATTTTTTTAACCAATTTTTTTAAGACTCAATTTGACGAGAAGCTTGAAAATTTTGTAACAATCAACCGATGGTAGAAGAATAAAGTTTTTTGATTGCATTCGTCTCTCATTGATCAACTTTGATGTGATGTTGCACTTCAATCCCACTGTTTGCATCTGCAAGCTGTTCGCTATTTTTGAATCAAGCAAACACTCCAGCTGCAAACGTTATATCAAAATAATGGTGCCTTCTACGACATAATGCTAACCTACTCTATTTGTTGAATAGCACAAAGTTTAGTTGTGTCGCTAATTTGTTGGTAGTTAAAACTAAAGTGTTAATTTGTTGTGAGCACCAATGATGTGTTCCAACTGGAAATCCATTTTTTATCTACTATTTATTTATATTGATTCAAATAAAATTTTTCGTCGAAGAAGCAATTTTAACCAATTTATGAGTTGTTTTAGAATGTTTCTTAAATTGGGCATGAATACAAATTGAACAAAAATGAAACTGCAGAATTGAACTCTAATGGAATCGTTTTCCAGGCAAAGTTATTGAGCACATTGTTGTTTAGCAACGGAGTTTATTGACAATTCATCAGTTTGGTTATGGACAGTTGCACTCCGCTGAGACAGCATTGATCGATGTTTCTTCTGAATTCATCGCGTCTATTCATGTTCAAAACGTGTCATTTCATTGCATTCATTTATGTTCAAAGCGTGTCACATCTTATTTCTTTTTATGACAAGGCAGCATTTTTTGTTCTTTTTCACGTTTTGTAATTTTTTGCAGAATTTAAAATTATTCGGCTCAGTTGGAAATTTTAAATGGCTCGTCATGACCTATCAGCCCGTTTCTTGGCCAGATCGCATAAACTAAATCAGAACTTATTCCGAAGATTATAGCAACAAAGGTTTAACTTCGTCTTAGTAGATGTGAACTGTACGACATTCATTTGTGATTTCATTGAACACATCAACATTTGATCTTTCTATATTTTTTTCCTAAAGCAATCAAGTTTTAATGAAAGTAAATATTTTTTGCAACTTTTATAGTTTAAAATAGTCTGACAAGACCGAATAATGTTGAAGCAAATTTACGCATTGCTGTTTTTACATCGATGGCATTTTTATTTCGAAGAGTTTAATTAACTCAGAGAGTTCCTACCTCATATATTGACCAGAAATTTTATGGCTGACCTCTATTGACCATGTGCAAAAATTACTTTACGTTCTCTAAGCTTTTAAGATGTCAATTTTTAAAAAAGCATGAATAAAAAGTTGTACAAATAATAATTAATAATAACCAAAGTTTTTTTGGAAGATTATTACATTAAAAAATATTTAATAATTGAATGGTTCTCTACGGAAATTGAACTGACCTGAATGTTAATTTCAAAAATTGTAAGGAATAGCAGATACTACGTCATTTCTGCCTTATTATTTAAAATTATGAAAAAATCATTTGAAGATATGCTACAAAATTTGGCGGCAATCAATTGAAAGCATTAAAACATTTATTGCTTGACAATAACAGCGACGTAATTAATATTTCCAAGTGGGAATAAACTTTCTTTCCAGCAAAACAAGAAAGATAATGGGTGTAGATAATTAGGTAATCAGTCGACATGGCAGGTGTCACATCGACCCATCATTGTCGGCAGCGAAAAACTTGCCTAATAAAAAAGAAACTTCTCTCCCTCTCTCTCTCTGATACAATCACTTATAATGAATTTTTTGTCAACAAACAGGGTTTAAGCAAAAGTTTGGCTTTGTTATTTTATATGACACGTAAACTTTTCATCAACGTGCCAGTTTCATTTCACGGTTTCTACCTAGCGGCACTGACTGGAGTGACTTGTACCTCCTGCTCATTTGCCACGTCTCTTTGGACGGCGTTACATAGTCTTACAAATTTGCGTACTTCTACATGATTATTAAATTAAGCAACTCAGCTTTCCTTCACGATTAACAATTTTTGAATGTTTTTTTCTTCAACACTCAGCAACCATTCCACAGTTATTCATTTCGACAATTTTTGATCTGTTGCTGTTTTCAATGCACGGTTATTCATCTTGATTAAAGTTTCATTGAAACCGGTTATTTTTCTTCTATTTTTTGGGCTTAGTTGATGACCACATTTGAGCATAATTTATGTAAAATAGAAACTGCATCAGTATTGTTCTCTTAATAAAAGTTTATAATAATTGTTAAGGACGACAAATAAAATAAATTCAAAACCAGTCAGACAGTTGCAAACTTTTGCAGGGAGATTTCAAGCAGGCTCCTCAAAAGCGATTCATTCATCCCATGCATCCAACGGTTCATTCATCTAATGCATCCAACGATTCAATCATCCCATGCATCTAACGATTCATTATCCCGTACATCTAACGATTCATTCATCCCATGCATCCAACAACGATTCATTCATTCCATGCATCCAACAACGATTCATTCATCCAATGCATCCAGCGATTCATTCATCTCATGCATTCAGCAATTTATTCACCTCATGAATCCAGCGATTCGTGCACTCAGCAATTTGAACAGTTGCAGTTCACACATGCGGCAACCCTTGCACACAATCTCTTGAGCATGTAGTAATTCATTGTACAAAAATTTGTGTACACGAAAATTTGTGTATAAGACAAAATATTGCGGAGTAATCTGCGCTTAAGACATTTTAATTTTAAAGAAAGTTACTGCAAAACCTTTAAGAATTTTTAAAAAGAATTTATGATGACTTGAGGTGTTCATATTTGAAGAGTGTTAATCATCCGCACGGCCACGCCCACCTAATGCGTGTCGTTGTGCACTCGCGTCTCAGGTGGAGCGTTGTACCTACTTGTATATGTTTGCACAATGTAATGGAATGATGACACGTGAGATGAGATTGACGTTGTGTTGAGAATGGCTGTCCTGCTTATTTGAAAAATTCTTTTGACATTGGCATCATTTTAATTAATGCATCGCATGTAGGATTGTTGCTCTGAAAATTGTATCATCCTCTCGTTTTATTATGCTGTACAACTCGCGCTATTCGAGATGGGACGTCTTCTCTTCAGTGAGTCGCAGTCGGATGAAAAATATCCCACTCCGACTCACGACTCAAGGTTCCAAATTCATAAATAAATTTATCAACTTTTACGTTATAACTTTATTTTATTATCACTACAAAATAAAAATTAAAAAAAACACTCAAAATCAGTCAATGTAATTTTTTTTTTATGTAAAAATATCATATTTGCAACACTCTGAAAAAAATTATGTAATTTTATTACCATTATCAGCATTTATTTTTAGTTATAAAAACTATTGCCGATCACTGCCACACATTTATTCATTCATCTTCCAAATAACACAATCTTATGAAAAGTTTTCATAAAAAAATAAAATTTTTTTAAAATGAAAAAATTTTTCGGAATCCGTCTCTGTTCCCTAAAGAAATCCGACTTCAACTCCGGCCTCTTAAAAAATTCATACTCAGAGTCCGGCCAAAATCTCCGACTCCAATCGACTCGGACACTGGTTTTCTTGGTGGCGCTTTGCAAATGATGCTGTCGCTTTGTCGTCATAAGTAGAAATATCGTGTCTGACGTGAATGAAGCCAGTAGCAAGATTTTATCAAGTGATGATGTCATTGTTGCGATTGCTGTGGTTATTGTGACTGTGTTGTTTGTTGTGTTTGTGTTTGTGTGTGTGTTGGTTGTGTTGGTTGAGATTGGATTGCTGTGGTTGTTGTGCTCGTTCATTTTGTAAAAAAAATTAAATTTTCACGTTCCTAGTTTGCAAAAAAGTAATTAGCAGCAAAAAAAAGATGAATTAATGAACAACGTGATGAATGGAAGCAGCGTCGGATGTTTGAATTAAGTAATTGCTAAAAGGAAAAGCAATGCAGTAAAAAAATTTACAGAATTTAATTGATTTATTTCAAAATCAAAAAATTATGTAACAATTTTTTTAACAATAATTTTTTTAAAACAATCTAAACACAAGTATTTGAAGAATTAACAATCAATGAATAATTAATTAGATATTTGAAGACGATGAAATGAACGGCCGACCTTCTGCTTGTGGTAGAGGAAGACGTTCTGCACGAAGGCGCGCATGATGACGGCCATCTTCGATTCTTTGACGCCCTGCTCCAGCTCCCTCTCGTTGAACCAACCGCTGCTGCCCGCCTTCGTCACCATCACAATTATGTCAATGTTGCCGATCCGGTCTATATTTAAAAAGTCGTTAGGTGGCTGGCTAATTGAATTGTCTGTCGTTCGGCCATCCATCAATGGATTCGGCAAATAATTACCTTTCTTAATTTCATTTGCAGCAGCGTTCATTGCTTTGTGGCCTTTTGTTGCATCATTATCGTTCTCCTGTTCGCTATGTTTGTTTTTGTTGGCGTTGTTGGAGTGATTGATGTTGCCGATGGATGGTCTGCTTTTTACGATGTTTGCCGCTTCAGATTCTCTTGCGCGAAACATTTTCTCCTTATTTTTGAACGGTGCATCTCGGACGCTGCTGCTGTTTGAAGTCAGCCAAGTCGGTAGCACGTTGAGTAGTGGGCTTAAAACAGATTTAAATTTCAATTTATTGAGCGGCAAACTCTGGGAGGCTTTCAAAATATCTTGCACGGATGCCTCGTTTATGCACTCGTTAACGTTGAAAGAAAGTTTCGGCGGTTGCTGCTTCTGCTGATAGTCAACCTTCTCCGTCGATTGTCGATTATTAATTAAATGGCTTTTGTTTTTTGAGGTTAAAATTGTTTCCTTCAATGCTTGAACATTTTTTTTGATGGTGTTGTTGTTGATGTTGTTGCTGCTGTTGTTGTTGTTGTATTTGTTGCTGCTATTGTGTGTAGGATGCACTGAAGAGCAGTTCAGTTTTTTTGAGAGTTGTTGCAAGTATGATTGGTGGATGTGTTCATTGAAAGTGTTGAACGACCAGCTGGTGAAGGGAGAGCCATTTATGAATATAGCCCGTTGGATCAAACTTTGAACTGAATGTTTTGGAAAATATTTTGTCTTTGAAAATATTTTGTAAAACATTGTAAATAAATAATTTCACTGAACAATTTCAATTAATTTTAAAAATATTGTCAAACATCAATACCAATAATAATAATAATAAATAATAATAATAATAATATATTCATTTTAAAAGTGTATACAGAAACCTATAAAACACAAACACGTTCGCACAAACACACTCGTCCATATCACGCATGAATAAACATCAGCTCTGAAAGGTCCAGTTAAACATTTTTGAGGGGCGTGACCTTCAAAGCGCAAGCTGTTTAAACTCACCCCACACAACTTCCTCTTTCATACAAACCTCCATTCATGTTTACAATAAAGGATGACAATATATTTTCATATTTATTCACATTTCCCCAAATGAGCATAGTTTTCTACGCTTCGCAAATTCGATGGTTGAATATATCATGATGAAATTAACATATGTCGTTAAAAGGAAAGTGTTGGTGAAGAAGCCAGAAATTTGATTTGTTGGAGCTTGAATGCTGAACAACAGCAACAACAGTTGATCTTTTTATTACGCCACAACTACTTGCAATCTAAAAACTACAAAAAATAAATCTTACAAGTTTACTTCTATTTTGACATAAAAATTTGTATAAACTTCAACTGAAGTTACATCAATCATCAGCTGCTCCATGGCCAACCCTGACAGGTGGGTCTCCAGTCAATGACAAACAAACAAATTGAAAATAAATGCAAAACTGCCGATAAATGAGAGAGAACAAAAAGCATAAACTCACGCGACTCTGAAATTAATTACCTAACTGAACAATTGTATTGCAATGTCCACTTAATGTTTATTTTTTGCCTCGGATGATTGTTTATGTTGATAGAGAGTTGCGTGCGTAGTTACCTTCATGGGTCATTAAGTATGCAGATTGTCTGCTGGCTGGTCAGTAATGTTGAATCAGCGCAACATTTTTGCCTCCTACATCATCCAACCTTTACAGCGTCAGTAAAAAAATATTACCTCCCAGGGCTGTCGTGCACCCTATCTAACAGCGTACACCTGCATACCGGGGGGGTATCAAACGACGTACGCATGTACGCCGGGGGGGGGTATCTAACAGAAGATATATGGTGAATATCTATCAACATTTATATCTATCAACAACGTATGTGTGTGTGATGAGTATCGATCAGCCTGCATAGATGTGGTGTGAGCCTTTCAAAACATGATACATGCATTTGAAACACACTTATACATATAATGTACGAGAAGCTAATGATCCAATAACTTCATTATAAGCCATCGCATGCAGATAAATCAGCACAAATTCATACAAACTTATGTGGATGGAGGTTAAACATATTAACCTGCCTTAAATTAGCCACCATATACTCACAGTCTCATACAAGAACTACTAATATTTATAAAAAGTTGAATGTGAAAACTAGATAAGTACAAACAGAATGAAAGAAACATAGGAGGAATGCCTGAAGGAACCCAACAACGATTTAAACACACCGACAGGCAAGCATCGATCTTATGATATTTTGATGATGGCGATGATGATAAACTGACTGAAGTGACACTGCACGCTGGTGGCGATGATGACGATGATGACGATGATGACAGTTGAAAAGATGAACTCGACGCGAACAGGATAATGGCAACTAATGAAGATGATGATGATGATGATGATGATGATGTGGTGGTGGTGATGATGATGCAGAAAGTAAAATTGGCTGGTTTGAAGTGATAGAAAGGAATGATGATAATGATGATGATGATGAGAAGGAGGAGGATGTTATTAGTAGTGCTGATAATGATAACGATGATGCTGAAGTTGTTGATGATGAGGAGGATTCCGATGTCGAAGTTATTATTAATGATGGCGATGACGATGATGATGAGAATGAAGATGAGATCGATGATGATGATGATGATGATGATGGTGGTGATTATCTCATTTGGCAATACACTGCAGCGTTCGTTTGATGCTCCCATGCAACCAGCACACAAGATATCATCATCGGCAGCGCTGTTCTATGTTAGTTGCTTTAAATGCAAATAGAAAAAAGTAGAAAAAAAATAATACAAAAATCAAATTGGAGCTGGTGTACAAAGGTCAAAACAAAATATAAAATAATTTGATCCAGCTAATGATTCTTCAATGTATGGAACAATTGAAGGCACTTGGTTAAGAAACAAAGTTTCACGTGTTAAGAGAAAAAATTATAGAAGATAAATAAAGCATTAAAAAAATAAATTATCTGATAATAATTTCCGAGACTTGTTCTAAATTTGCTCAAGTGCTCATAAGTTTAGTTATTAAATTTGAGCTGTTTTGGAAAACATTAAAAACTTGAATATGTAACCACTGCCCTCTATATTAAAAACAGATAACAAAACAAAATTTTTGACCAATGAAACAAAGGGAATTGAATAAGCGAACCTTGAAAAATTTCATTTCAAAATAAAATTCCTGAGAGTAATGATAATAGTTTTTTCAGCAACCGTTTCATAATTTTTTAGAATAACAAAAATTACAATTGAGTGGCATCATGGCTCAGTAGTAGAATCCCTAGACATTACGTTCTGGTCTAACGTTGCAGTGGTTGAGGCACCTGGTCTAACGTTGCAGTGGTTGAAGCACCTGGTCTAACGTTGCAGTGGTTGAGGCACTTGGTCTAACGTTGCTGTAGTTGAAGCACTAGATGCAACCACACGTTGCTTTCAAATGTTCCGATTCACGCATAAGATTATGAGCTTGTTGCTACTATATTTTTGCTGGACGAAGAATTAAACTTGAGTAGATATGAACCAGCTTGAATGAATGTGTTCACCCGCAGAATATCTAATGGTGCAACGTGACGGAAGCAAACAAATTAAATTGCGGACATTGAATTTTGTTCTCTCTACACACAAATTCTCCACATTCAAAATAAAAATTTGAATTCAGTAAAATTGAAAATTAAGAAAAACTTCTAAAATGTAGAACTAAAACAGCCAAAATCGTTTTCCAGAACAATTCAGTCCAAATGAAATTTGTTTGCTTACATTTTGAAAATCACCTCCAACAAGGCTGCCATTCTCACAATGATATTTATCAAACAACTGTAACCTAGGTTGACCTGTAGCATCATATCGCAAACGATGTTAGACCAATCATGTTTTCCTACAATGCTCCATTATATTTGCATTGTTATCTTCTATATTCACTCAATAACAACATCAATTCAGTCAGCAATCATATTTTTGAATTGTATTTTTCCGCTGAAAAAAATTTTGAAGTGACATTTAAAATTGTTTCTGAATTTTCAGTCAAATTCTCAAAAATTTTTTATTCTTTCAAATTTCTTTATAACTGCTGTAATTTTATTTTAAATAAAGGTGTAACAATAACGATGGTGTTGGTGATGGGGTGTTTTGAAATTTTCTATACTGCTTGGTGAACTAAACATAATAAAAATGACCGGATACGATGAAATATTTAAAATGAATGCTCGGTTCAGACCGACGCAATTTTATGTACAGTCACCCCTGCAAACGTTCCTTTCAATTATTTTTCTCGTTGTCCTTCAATTTATTTTCCTTTAGATAAAAATTTGTCTTTGTTTTAATTAGATGTTGTCGGAGACGACGTTTTTATTTTCTCGCTTCTGACGCACGTCACGCTCAGAATATTTGAAGTTTGGAATTTGTTTGCTGTCAAACTGATTGGCTATAGACTTTAGTACTTCCATCATTTGCAATACAACAAAATTGCTTCTTAATTGCAAAATTAAAAAGAAACAACAAAAGTTATACGATTTTTTTTCTCAAACTGCAAAGTTCAAATTGTCATAAGAAATAGTTATTGATTTAAGTTTAAAAGTAGCTAACTATTGTATTCATCGTTAGTAATTATTATAGAAGACGGCTTGTAGTTAAAGTCTAAAGTGAAGTAGTTATTAAATGTTGGAAAGTATCAGTGTAAGCATCTAGGTTTGTACAGCGTTTCTTTTGAGAAGACTTTAGAGGCGACTTCCATAGCTCGCTACGTTGAAATAAGAATGTTTTACAACATTTGAAGAGTCGTCGATCAGCAATAGAACTATTTTGTTGAAATTCCGGCCGGTTTTTTGAAGTTACGTTCGAACGACATTGACGGTTTTGTGTACTGAGTTTTTGGTTTTTGGTTTTTTGGCAGCATCAAGGCAGCAACATCGGGTGACACCGCTTGTTGGACGGATACATCTTCAGACGACACAAACCGACTTTCAACGACGAACCAGACACCAAATCATCTCCCAATATTGAATCAGCCGCAAAAAGATATTTTTCTTTATTAAATGACCAAATTTTAACATACCATTTTGTTGATTGTCTATTTGTATTTGACTGTTTGTTTATATTTGGGCGTCATATACCATGTTAAACATCGCTTACGGCTTTCGCACGTTTCTACCAAATTTGCAGTTCACATTCAGAACGTAAAGGCAGAGTGAGAATAAATCGGCTTATTTTCCAAAATTATATCAGTCACAAATTTCAACGTTCTATTACCTCAAACTAGTTAAAAACAGATTAAACCCCAATTAAATTAAATTAAAAATATAAGAAACCATTTAAACTAAATTTATAATCAACAACAAGTTTGCAAAAAAAAATTAAAAGCAACTTTGAAGCAAAAAAATTAATTTAAAAAGCACACGCATTCGTTTCACGACACGTTTTAAAAACAATCGAACACCTATCATGCACAATGAAGCTGTCTTCTAGTAGTTAGTTAAATATTTATGGTTAGTGATTACCCATTTCTGAAAAGTTGTAAAAGAAATGCATAAACTTGAAAATTTGAAAAACCAAACAAACATTCGCACTTCTCATAAACTCTATTAGTTAAATTATTATTATTATTATTATTTGTCCGTCCGTAATTAAGTTGAAAAATAATCGCATTAAAAATAGATAACCGTTGCAAATCGAAATTTTATGCCGAAATTTTAATCTGGCAGGCCGCGAGACTTTACGATGGCTGCAGGCTGCTGATTATTTCCCATTAATTCCAAATCTTGATGTG